AAGCTTTTGTTTTAAGATGTAGTCCGGGGAATCGGTGAGTTCAGTGGCTGAATGCTTTGCAGGATAATTCTTTGGGTGTCTGAAGTCCTTTGGATGAATAAAGAAGACACCAGTGTTGAAAAGCTCCCTTTTTAAAGTCTGGCAAAAGTTACACTGACTTGAAAACAGGGTGTAAGAAAGAATTAGGAAGCATTAACAATCAGTGGCATTATCAGCCCTATCAATAAACTATTCCCACATGTATTACTTCCAGTGGCTCTGTGTCCTCCTCTTTGATTTTATGAAGCTTTGCACTATGAAGTTTGTATATGTAGATTCCCTTTCATTTTCATTACAGCATTTTAATTTTTTTTCTGGTTTACAATAATAAAGTGCAAGGTTTGTAATATCTTGGGAGAGTAATACATGACGTGGCTAACTTGCTTTCAGTTTTGATTCTATATACTTAGCTCTCTAAAAAGGGCTATCAGTTACCTTTTAATTTGTTGTTTGATTGCTAGATCTCTCATGAGATATGAGATAATTGCAGAGCGTGTTGGTTTGATAATTCTGTATGTTAAAGTAATCTTTTTCTGGTCGGGAGACCTAGCATGGTCAGAGATGATCAAAACTCCCTCACAGTGACTTCCACCTAGTCAAGATGCAGAGCTGAGAGAAGTCAAACCTCACAACACACACAACTTCACCCTTCTGAATTCTGCTTTTCCTCTCTGAAGGTCAGTTTTCTGCCTGAACCTGTAGGCAAGTCTTAACTGGAGAGTCTGTTTGCTGCCACCTTCTGCAGGGGAATTTAGTTTTCTCTCAACATCATGAGATACCTTTAGATATATTTATTAATTAGTCTGGTATCAACTCTGACTTGCTGCTTGATTAAAAATGGGTAGAAGTTGCTAATAATGAGTAAAGGGTCTACATCTCATTAGAACTTTTTCAGCTGATGTAGGTCTCACAGGAAAACCTAGTCCATTTTCTACAGAATTGTATCGGAGTTGTCACCAAGGTCAGAGCAGTGTCGCTGCAAAGACAAACTGGGCTTTGACATTTTGGTGGGCTGTGAGGTTGTTCCCAGATATTGCAGCCAGTGGCCAAGGGTCCGCATTTTTCTTATAAAAGTGATAGCTGCTACATGCTCTGTGAAAATTTGTGATTTTGGCAAAAGACAGAAATTTTGTGGAAAATCTTCCACTTACGAGGCAAAAAAAACCCTTATGTCTTTCTAGTTAGACTACCCAGTATTCCCAGTTCTGACAGACTTAAACAGGGCACCACTGTTATTTAGACTGTGCTCAGTGCTGAATTTCACTAAAAATGTACTTTTAGTCTTAAGCCAACCATCTTTTTAAGAATTACCACAACCATCTTTCACTTAAGGATGTGAGACATGTTCTTTGAAGTCTTAATGAGCTGGGTTTGCTGGTCACCAGCAAAAATCTGTTAATGTGATGGTTACCAGCAAAAATCTGCTAATGTAAAAGAGTATTTGCAGAAGAGAAGTTCACCTCTGTGCTTAACTCACCACCTTGCTTCAATTCATCTGGTTGTTTGCATTAACTCTGCAGTGAAAAAGGGTCCTCAAGCCAAAAAAAAACCCCAAAAACACAACAACCTAAAATGGGATGTCACCAAGTCAACTTTAGGTGTTGCAAGATGTTGAACTCTTACTTTGAAGTTCTTGGGAAGGAAAAAAAGAGCAAAGAACCCACGGTTCATTTCGTTAACAGTTTGAGGTGATGCACTAAGGCAAGTGAGCTGGCAAACTTGGTGGAAAGTTTATCACAGAAGTACCAAAAGGTGAAATGAAAAATGAATGAAGGCAATTTATTAAGGAGAATGGAAGAGTTCTTCAGTTCACGGTGAGGCTCAAGGTCAGCCAGCAGCATTAACCCAGGCTAGCAGCACTGCCATTGACCAGTGGCATCACCACTGCAGAGGTTAAACTTTGCTGCCACAGAGGGATGTAAGGATGCTGAGCCCTGCTATTTCACACTGATCCAGTGTGAGTTTATCAGGGAGCAAAAATCCAGGGGCCCTTTTCTTAAGCCAAACAGTATGTACACCACAGAGGGTTCTGAAATCCACAGTGCAGATCCATGCCCGTAACCTGCTATGCAGGTACTGATGCCAGTGTGTGAACCCATGGGGGCCAGCCTGAGTCATGAGTAATTTCAAACTGAGCTGCTGAAGGCTTTAACTTTTAGACATAATGTGCATCAGGACAAAAAAAGTAATTTCAGCTCTCAGCCAAATTGTTTGCTAAACAACAGTGTGAAACACTAATGTGTCCAATGAAATCAGCAGCAACTGTGCATTCTTTAAGCCTCAGTTCCTGGGAGCAATTGAAGCCTAGCCTGAGATGTGCATGAGTTGTACATGCCATTTTGAACACTTTTTGTAAATAATAATTCATAAATCAGGATTAAAGTAGTGTGTTGTGTGCTGGTCTTTTGTTTGGGGAGGGATTTAATCCTAGTTTGCATGTTCATGCTTCAAATCTTAATTAATTTAGACTTAATTTATGGTAAGAAGCATACAAAAAAGTGAACAGAAATAATCTAGAAAGGGACTTGCATGATGAACTCCTGTAAAACAATACAGGAATAGGCATTATTTACTCTGTTGCAGACTTGGAAGTAAAATAATGTAATTTTAGTTCTATGACAGTAGTGAGTCAACAACAATGGGTACATCACAGTTACCTGGTGCTGTTTTTCTTCAGCACACTTGATAGCATGGAGGATTCATTTTGAAAAGCAAGGGCTGAGGATTTCTACATTTCTCCTTTCATCAGCTGCATTATCCATATAGCCCACAGTCTGGGACAATCTGTCATGCTCTCTCCATTGTATCTCCTACAATACCACTTTCCAGAGCAGTCTCAGTCCTGGTTGGAAGTATCTTTTGTTTTTAATTGAAATGTCAGTTTTTGAATGACAGTGAAATAAACTACTGCCCTCTAGAAGCCTCTGTACTGAATGCAGCACTGCGAGATGATTTTGTACCTTTTCAGAGCCACTGCCCTACAAATGGGTACCTGAGACTGTCTCGATGTGAGCACTGAGATCATAATCCATAATGCAATCCCTCTTCACACTGAACAGCAGCAGGTTTTCTCTTGAAGGTGTTAATGCTTATTAATGTTACAGCAAAGTCTGATGCTGCATACATGTGAAAACATAATTATATATAAAAATAATTCCATGGTTTTGGACTAGAACTTTACAAAACTCCAGTCTGAACTGATTCATTCTGCTAAACAGAAGAGTTTCAACAAGATAATTTTAGAGCTAAAATAATACTTTTAAATAAAAAGATGAAGGAGGACTGTATCATGGCTGTGATAGATTCATAATATATGGGGGTGGGTATAGAGTGGGTTACCTCAAACTGGCCAGTTAATGGAGTACTAAGTTTTCTGGTCTAGGCTTTTCCATCGCATCCCATCTATTGGAACATTCAGGCTGCACAGCTGTTTTTGTATCTCTTGATGTCTTTTCTTCCATTACCTTGAATGTGGGAAAATTTACAAAAAGGAACAAAATCAAAGTTCTTCCATCAAACCAACACAGTTGGTGGTACTGTACATCTTTAGAGTCAAGGGAAAGTATCTGCTCACCCAGTGTTGGCATGAGGCTGATGAGAAGAGCTTTGAATGTCCATGCATGTCTTGTACATTTAGGGAGGGGAACCTGCTGTCTGGCCCCAAATATCTGAGACAAATCTTTTGATTTTTCTGAAATTCAGATAAGAAATCGATAGGGACGCATTGTAACTCAAGGGAAAATAAAAATTATTGGATTGATTTCTTGCAGTTGTTAACTTGTTAAGTGTGTTGCATATCAAAACTACTAGCATCCAATAAATGTAGTTGGAAATTTCCAGTAATTCAGAACTGTTTCTGGAGGAGATGTTTCCATAACGAATCGCCCTGGCTGCTGCTTAGGTGTGGGGCTTTTTGACAGCTAAGCAGTTAAATAATTCCCTGGTGAAATCATAGCCCCAAATATAATTTGCTGCATTTACTGCAGCTGCACCAAACTTCTTTTTATCACAACAATGAAAAACATTGCCTGTGTCATATAAAAGTTGCAATACCTGCTCTGATGGAAGGAGCTGGATGGAAGCACTGGGAGATGGATGTGCTTTGTGCTCTGATCCTTCTTGGTAACGCAGCAGTGTGCAGGAGAACTGATAGAGTTACATTCTGGATGCTTGGCCTCTGCTTCACCCCCTTGGGACAAATCTTTGCTGGAAGTGAAGCTTGGATCAGGCCTGTGAAAGCTGATAGGGCTCCAGGGTTCACCTACAATAGAGGTCTTACGTAGGGATGTGGCTGTTCCTTTTCTGAAGCTGTTCTCTTATTAATGGGATGACATGCTCATATTCATTTCTATATCTCATAAACCTCAAACTATAATGACTTGGCTTATGAGGAGTTCATAATTCAGTGTCTAATGATCTTGTGTGTAACCCAAAGCCTCTGCTACTTCTGACTTGTGAGAAAATGATAGGCCAAACTAAGTGACTCATTCTTTGCAGTAAAATGAGAGTGTACTAATTATTTATCAGTATCTTACCCTTAATTTGGCTCAAGAAAGAGCTGATTTCAACATACACAAAAGAGCTGTGTAGACACTAAAAACTATTATAGTCAGAAAGGTTCCACCCAGATGTAAGCGATAAGTCAGTTTTATATGACAGAAAAGCAGTAAATGCATGAATAGATTCCTAAAGCAGTGCATATAAAAATATATATATGCATCTATATATATTTCCTCCTACTCACTGCCTTCTACAATGTTTATTGTAAATTCAACTTCCAGAATCCCTTTATTAAAAAAATAGCATTATCTGAACAAGTTATGTTGTCTGTTATGTTTGGTCTCTTCTAGGGATTCCATGGGGCTATTTTTGTAAAGCAGAGGGGTTTTTTTTTTTTTGTTTTGGTTTTTTGTTTGTTTGTTTGTTTGTTTTTTAAATTTTTTTTAAATTTTTTTTGGGGGGGTGGGCTGGCTTATTCTTTCCATGGATACCTAAAAGCACGGCTGGAACACCAGATTTGTGGTATTTACTTCTCAACTTCTGTAGCCTCTGAGCACCCCATATCAGGTCCTGGGTCAGGAGGTGAGGTGGAAGCAAATGGTGAAGGCACCTTCCAGTGGCAGCACTGCCCAGAACACCCTGAGCCAGGTGGGATCTGGCCCATCCCTGCAGCTGTTTGTATCTGGGTTACAATGGAAATGGCTGCAGGGCACCTTTGCTCCCTTTGTATTGCTCCCTTCTGCTTTGCTGAGCCTCAGCACAATAATCTTCATCTGCAAACTAATTAGAACACACCACTAAACCCAGGCAGTAATTGGGAGGGAAGGATTTAGATGTTAGCACGTTGAGGCTCTACTGAAATTGCTTCATCTAGAGTTTGACTTTCAGAAGCGCAAGGCATGCACAACTTCTGGAGTGAGGGATGGCACAGGCACAGGAATCAGGCTCTAAAGCCATAAATTTCCTCTACTTAAAAATTACTGCAGGATTTGACTGACCATTACATGTTTATCTCATTACCCTAGACTCAGTGGAAAAAATTAGACACTTCTAGGGCATGTTTTTTCATTCTAAAATAGACATCTAAATAGGTCACATGCATCATAACTTGTAAATGCTGAGATTTTGAAAGCTGATTTTATTTCTACCCTTTGGTTTAGCATTAGAAGATTACCTCATTACTGTGCTCATAGCTGGCAGTGTCTTCTCTTCCAGAGCCAATGGTCCTGTGATATAACTCATTCAAACCACTTGCCTATATCAAAACAGTGTTTTCAGTGAGGCTGGAGCTACAGGTAACTTCAGTCAAGATGATCCATTTCCCATTGTTCCCAGGAAACCTTTTTAAAGGGAAATTATGTCACCATGAGGTGCTAGAGCAAAACAATTTTTCAGCAAATCCCAAAAGCTTATAATTGTATAGTTAATAGTGCATTATTTAGGGATGCATTTTAGAGATACAGCGATTACTCTTAAGTTTTTTGGCAGACTTTTATAACTGTAATGCATAATTACAATGTAATGATTCTTTCTGCCACATGTTAGTACACTTAGCCCATGTCCTTGGAAACTTGCCGGTAGGCTTAAGAATAATTGTACTCTAAATGTTTGGTAATTAATGTGCCTGGTCCAAAAATTACATGTAAAAATTTGAAATCAAAGGAGTAACAACACTTAATTCTCTTACAGTTTACCTTCCAGTTATTTGAATGAGTGCTAATTAGATCTAAAAACCATAAGCATACTTTTACAGTAATTACAATGATGATTATGTTGTAATTACAGTTGCAACAGCATAATGAGATTTACTTGTTAACCATTTCAGTTCTTCATATAGTGCACGTGAAGCAGCTGTTGTGGGAAAATTCCCATAGAACTTACCCAAAGGGCCATGGAGGTGTTGATTTTGAGTGCTCTGGAGCTGTGTCAAATGCCTACAGAGAGAACTGGAGATCATCACAGCAGCACACAGCTAAGAGCACTTTCAGGAAAGGCGAGTGTTTGATCATGTCAAAACCCTCCCCAAAAGGCATCTCTGTGTCAGAAGGGGAAGGTAAAACTGCTCATGCCTGGCACCTCAAGCTGCCAACAACCTGTGAGCCAGAGCTTTGGCAGTCCTGAAACAGGATCAGGGGCAGAAGCAGAGAGAAACTTCCCGAGGGCAGGAGGACACAAAGTCCCTCCAGGCAGGGATGGGAATGAGGAGGAGGTGCCATTGAACCCTTCACCTCTGCCTGCTGTCCCCTCCTGTGCCAGCACTCCCTCCCTTCGTGCCTTTTGGCTGTGTCAGGACTTTCTATAGGTGCCACCTCATGCTCAGGGCTGCTGTGCGGTGCCCTCTGAGTCACGCAAGGAACGCGGGCAAAGGAAGGGCAGTAGGGATGACAGCAGCATGTCAGCAGCAGGCTGAGGCCCTTGGAACTGTTCTCCCATGCTCCACCCAGCAAATCATTGCCCTCCTGTCCCCCCTCTACAACCAGCACCCCGAGGGACATGCTTAGAAATAGTTATGGGACCCAAACATTCCCATTCTTCTGTTCCTGACCTCCATCATATCACAGGTGCTTCTCTCACCTGAGTTTTGGCTTCTGTATCACTTTGTACCACACACAAGGTGGGGGCTGCTAAGGCAAAGCTCTGCTTTTCTTCCCATTACTTGATTGATCCAACAGCCAGTGCACAGCCTTTTTCTCTTACCTTTCATAGCAATAACAATATCAGGACTTTGAACGGCTAGAGGCAGGACAAACACACTTCAGAAAAGCAGAAAAAACATCACTGTTGCTTAAAACAACGAAACCAGCCTGGCTGCAGGATTTCCTTCTTCCCTGTCCCTGGTGCTCTCAGGAGTAGAATGAGGGAGGGAACAGAAACGCTGAAAACAGGGAAGAGCAGAATTATTTGTTCAGAGTCTGATCTTACCGTAGGTACCAGGAGCTTGTCTCCTCCCCTGTGAGTTTAACCCCACCCTCTGCTCTTTTATGCTCTGGGCTATTTTGGGCAGGCAGCGAGGGCTGCAGCTCTGACAGATGAGGGTATGAACCAGAGCACAGCAGCACTTGTTGCTCTGAACAACTATCGGGACTGCTCCTCTGCTGCCTGCCTTTTCTTAATTATTGTTAATTGCCTGCAACTTGTTTTCTCCACTCCTTTCGAGCTGTATCATTACAAGTGATGTTTTAAGAGCTTTGTGGGAGCGGTTCCGAAGGGAAACTCGCACGCCCTGCAGTTGGAACCTCCTTTTGCCACTTAATATCAAGAGATCAGCTGGTAGCCTTGGGGGTGAAAAATGACAGACTCTGTTGCTGCTAATGGGGAAGGAAAGGACCCTGAAATCGAGCTCTTTGTGAAGGTAAGTTGTGCTGTGAACTGGACACTGGTGTGACTCTCAGATCGGCTCAGCTTCTACTGAATAATCAAACTTTAATTTTCTGGCGCTGAGCGGAAGCGGTGCTGTGACAGCCTGTTATCTCTTGTACACACGCTCACTCTGCTTTCTTCTTGGTGACATTAGAATTAGGTAATGTTGTGGAGGGAGAGTCAGAGTTCCTGTGTTTTATTGTTAATTCTCTCCTCCTGAGTTTGGTCTGTTATTCTTAGCCTGCTGCCTGCAATGTACTGTGTCCTAACTTTACACTTGAGGTTGTGGGCTTCAGGTTTTGCTCTATGAATCCTGACTTTCTTTTCCATTTTTGGGAAGAGCTGGGGATACCAGGATTTGGTGCCTCAGCAGAGGCTGTTGGGTCTGAAATGCTGATGGACTATAAAACAATAAAGATTGAGATAAGCTGTCAGTCTTCTGATTATTTACTGCAATACTTCCTTTTTTTTTCCTAAACTAATACAAAATCAGTTTTTACTGTTGGTTTCCTCAGACTGAAGCGCATTCCGATTTTGTAGAAGGGTGACTGAGAGCAGAAAGCAATTAAATGAAAATATAGAAAAATGACTACAGCTTTCATGTGGTAGGGTTTCAGAATGTTTCAAGTTGTGTATGGGTGTCGGTCTTGGGCTGTGAAAATCTTACCTTTAAAATCAGTTGAAACCCATGACACATACAACCTTATTAACAGCAAACTTCATGCAAACTCTGTCTCAGTGAAGAGCTCAAATTTTTTGGTGTTCAGAGTGTTTTAAGGCCTCTACACACATTCAGGCTGAGATCCCCTATGCCCATCTAAAATTATGGAATGGCTTGGTTTGGAAGGGACCTCAAAGATCTTCTTGTTCCAATCCCCCTGCCATGGGCAGGGGCATCTCTCACTAGACCAGGTTGCTTAAAATCTTGTCCAGTCTGGCCTGGAACACTTGCAGGTGTTTGGTCTCTCAGAACCTAATCCATGCTTGTAAATCCATTGGATTATTATGAATATGTGGGAGTTACCTCAGACCCTTAGCAAACAGAGCCCTGAATGATTAGGAAAGCAAATTCCAACCCCTCCCTTCTGTCAAGATGAGAGTATGTAATTGCTTTGTACTCCCTGATGGATATTTTGGGCTGTAACTTGAAATGTCAGCCACATCCATGATATGTATACACGGCCTCTTCACACATCTTCCAAAACCAGTCAGTTGAGGTGCAGGTGCTATGACTGAACCAGCAGTGAGGTCTTTTTCTGTAGCAAACAGATTTGGCAAGAATTTCAGGTTCATAAGAGCCTCGGAGATACTTTTTACAGAGAGTTTAATGTACTAAAATGGACCAGCAGGAGTCCATACAGCCAGATACCTCATCTCTTACAAGTTGTTTCTACCAAATCGAGTTTAATGGAGATGTTTATGGGCTAAAAAATAGGTTTGTGATGTTGTTTGGTACTCTGTCATCAGCCAAATATGTGCTGGAATGGAAATCTGTAGCTACTGATTTGTTTTAGTTCTCGCACTATTTCGCTGAGGCTGACACAGATGTTTGTGATATGTGGTTCCTTGATTGCATCAGCTGTTAAAGTGAAGGTCATTGCCCAGATTCATTGTGTGAATAAGATACTGGGGAAAATGAGCACTTCATTAAACCAAGCCATACCACCACCTGAAGATTTATAACTCCAGAAAGAATATTTTTAGTAATGTGACTTCCTGCATAATGCATATTACAGAATTGCATAGAAACTCACATAAAACTCTGAGCTGGAACAGAGAAATTAATAGGTATCTTCCTGGAGACTTTCCATTTAGGTTGAAAAATTGCAATTCTTGATGTTTTGGAAGGGTGCCATTAATTTAATTAAAAGTTTAAAAGGTTCTATAGTAAAGCATGTGACCAGAGTATTAAATTATACACCTCAGAAGTTCAAAAAGAGAACATCCAAAAGAGAAACAAGCTGAAAGCTGAAAAATAGAAGAATATAAGAGTATCATGAACAGGTGAAAACTTTCCTGGAGGCTGACTGCAAAGAATAGGATATTAGTCAGGGGAGGTAAACAGGAAGGCTGATCCAGGAGACATTCTGCAAAGAAGAAGATACTTATTCTGTCTGTTTTAAGGCAGGAAAGAACAGAAAAGTAACTTCTGGAGGACTGTGAGGTAGTGGGATAAGTGGCAAATGTAAATATATTGGACCACACTAGAGGCAAGTTCTAACAGCAGGGGATGTTGGGATCAATGAGCAATTCCTCATTTGAGTATTATAGAGGTGGTATTTCACCCAAGGAAAAGACTTCTGTCCTGCATCCCTGAAGGAGCACACAAAATATACAGCAGTAAGTGAGCAAATGTAGGGCAGTAGATGTGACCTGGTGGAAACTGTATCTTCCACAAGCCCCAAAAAACCAGAAAGGGCTGTTTTTCACCAGCTACAGTGTCCTTAATAAATGCATTTTCTGTCTCAGGTTAAAAAAAGAAAGGTGTTACACAATTGCTCTATTTCTCTTTGCTGTTTGTCAACCAGGAGTGCAGGAGCCTGAGACAGACAAGCAGGGAGCGGAGCTGTAACCAAAAGAGCTGCTCTGTAACCCAATGCAGGCTGGCTCAGGATCTCCTGAGCTGCACAGACAGGCTGGGCACCACCAGCACACAGCTGAGCTGCTGTGGCAGGGACGGGTTAAGTGGTTATCACACCTATTTGTTATCACCCCCATTGATTTCACTTGTTTTCTAACGCTGCCCTAACCTGGACCTGTGAGGTATTTTTTTTGTGAACAAGTGTTTGTTCTTGCAAGGTGCATGTTTGAGAGCAAACCCCCCCAAATCTGGGGCAGGACACAAGGAGAGCGATGGTGGGAGCGGTGAGGTCTGCCAGGGAGGTGGTGCTGCCTTGATCAGATGTGCAGCTGGTGTGAGCAGGCCTTTGCTGAACTCTGAAACTCTCCAGCAGCAATTCCCTCTCTAAACTTGTTTGACAGGGAGCTGGAGGAAGCTGCCAAAGAGAAGGGTTTGTTGCGTGGTGCCGTGAGACGCGGGGGAAGGCGTGGGGAAGGGAGGTAGTGCTTGCTCTGTGCTTAACTCAGCTTGCTGTAACTCAGGGTAATTTCAGTCCTCTGTGTGCTGGAGAAGCAAAGTGCTTCTGTATAAACGACAAGGACACCCTGATGGAAGATATGTTTAGCTTTTCCTGGCAATCTTGCACCTGTATGTGTGAACTTAATGACAAAATTGAAATAGTGCTCCTATTACATGAAGTAATGAAATTAAAACCCATAAGGGAGGACCACAGGATTTTTGTGGCTTCTTTCTGTTTGCAATGGAAACAGGTGTTTGGATGTACATTCCTTGCCTTTCAGGATTAGTACCTAATATCAAAAGTCAATTTGAATGGAGATGCGTTGTACCCATGGAAAACAAAACATTATGCAAAGAGGACTGTATTGCTCAGAGTGCAGTCTAGAAAGCAAACACACCCAAAAAAGGACCAAAATACATGCCATTTAAAAAAAATCTTCCTGCTTTAGAAACACTCTATAACAAGATATATCTTAACCCATATTTCTGATAGTGAAAAGATGGTGGTATCATGGTGGTAGGAGAATGTGTGGTAAGCTGGCAGGCAGCTGCTTCTAGAAGGAGTCATTGTTGTGGCACTGATGGATTAATATTAATATTAGAGGTATGTTCATCAGTGTCCTGGGCTGAACCCAAATCAGAGGGACCTCAGTTGAAGGAGGTGATTCTGCCTCTCTACCCACTCTTTTGAGACCCCACCTGCACTGCTGCATCCAGCTCTGGGCTCCTCAGCAGAAGGAAGATGTGAACCCACAGGAATGAGTCCAGAAGAGGCCACCAATTGGATCACAGGTCTGGAACACTTGTGCTATGAAAACAGGTTGGAGAAGAGAAAGCTCCAGGAAAACCTTATAAAACCTTCCAGTACCTAAAGGGGACTACAGAGAGACCTTCCACAGAGGCCAGTAGGATTAAGGGGGATGGCTTTCAGCTAAAGGAGGCTAGGTTTATAGTAGATGTTAAGAAGAAATTCTGTATATAAGGGTGGTGGGGTCCTGGGACAGGTTGCCCAAAGTTGTGAATCCCTGACAGTGTTCAAGACCAGGCTGGCTGGAGCTCTGAACAGCCTGGTATTGTAGAAGGTGACCCTGCCCTGGCAGGGCAGTTGACATGACCTTTAAGGTCCCTTGCAACCCAAACCATTCTAGGATTAGGTGAGCAAGAGCTTTTGCTTAAAATGTGTAAGGCTTTACTTCTCACAGTGTTCACCCAGAGTCACACTGAACACCCTTCTAGGGAAAAAGTTAAGGTGCTGCAAGTGTAGAAATCAAAAGAGACCTCAGAGGCCTTGAACTTCCACGGTTTCTACTTCAGACATTTAACATGTCCCCATCTTCCAGCTGACTGGGCCCATTAGGTTATGTCTAAAAGTGATGGCAAGATTTGGTACCAAACTTAATTTCTGAATGAATGGGTCAGTCAGAGAGCCTGGCTGCCAGGACAGAGCAATCATAAACAACAGTGTACTCCATCAAAGACCCAGGAGCTGCTGCTCCCAGGAGGGTGTTGCTGCCCCTCTTGTTGGGTGGGGTTTGGTTTCGGTTTTGCCTTTTTTTTTTTTTTTTTTTTTTTTTTTTTTTTTTTTTTTTTTTTTTTTGGTGCATTTTCTGGATTTTTTTAAAAGTTATTTCTGCTGAAAAGTGATTTCAAACCAGCCTTGGTTTGGATTTTAGTGAAGTTTTGTCACATAGCCTTAAAGGAAGATATTAATAAAAGTGTTACTCCTGTTACAAGCAATCATTCCCCACTGTTAAGGCTTTTGTGGTTTTAATATGAGATAATCACTCCGATAAGAAAACTGATTTCAGGTTCAGATTTTCAGCATTATCACAACCAGTACTGGCTTTGCAAACAGGGAGAGATAACTTGGTAGGAACCTTTTAACCCTTTATAACAAGACAGGCTCTGCAGTG